TTAAACATTAAAAATGCTTGAATTAACAACATTAATGATTTTTACTTGGCTAACACTACGTGTTCGTTATGTAAGATTGAAAAACTTAAGTTTTGTTTATTATTATTATTTTTTTCTAATAAATCAATTAATAAACAAATTAATATTCTAGTTTCATAGTTATTTCCAAAATTTTGTTTTGTTTGATATTGATATTAATAATAATGTTATTGTTCGTTGGTTATATTCATTTGTTATGACAAACGATCCAACAACAAATCAAAAATCTACTCAACAACAAACAACAACAACCACAACATTAACAATGGATGGTATAGTTAATATCCAACAATCGAAAACAAGTTTATGTTTATCATCGAATTTTTTACTACCAAAAAATCTTATGCAATTTATTGAAGATATACCATCGGATTCATCAGATAAACCACATCCACGTTCAGGTCATCGAGCTATTGTTACAGATTCAGATTTATGGATATGGGGTGGTTATTATCCAGCAAATGATAATCAACCAGAACGCATGTTTCAAGAAGTAATTCTAAGCAAAATTTTTAAAAAAGTTAAATATTTATCTTAATGTTTATTTATATTTATAGCTTTGGCGTTATAATTTTGCTCTTCGTCGATGGACACTTGAAAAAACAACAGGTGATGGACCTACTCTTACTCTTGCGTCTCATTCAAGTATAATTAGAAAATATTCATTTTGATTTTCTTGGTTTTATATTTTTGATATTTTAGTGTGTCTCTTTCGAAATTTACTTCTTGTTTTTGGTGGTACAGGATTTCCTTTTGGTCAACATGTTTCAAATGATTTATTTGTACTTGATTTAAAACGACGTCATTGGAAACGATGTCGAATACTTGATCAACAACCAGAACCAGTCTATGGAGCAGTATGTATACATTTTCTAAGTTATATTGTATTATTTACAAACAAAAAAAAAAAAACTTTTTTTCAGAGTATGATTGTAAACGATGATCATTTATATATCTTATGTGGTACAAATAGTTGGTCTTATAATTCAGATGTATATGATATTCATTTACCTACATTAACATGTAAACATATAGGTCATACATTTGATGAAATTGAAGATCCAAGTGAAACAGGACGGTAAATATTTTTGATTAAATGGAATAAAATTACACTTTTTTTAATGCAATTTTTTTGCTTATTTCTCAGATATCGACAAGAAGCATATTTGTATCAAAATAAAATATTTTTATTTGGTGGTGGCGGTGTTTCGGGTATATCATATTCATTTGAATATGTAAGTATAAGATAAAGTTTAATTATCTTTATTAAATATATGCCCTTCAAAGTAGAAAAAGCATAGAGTGATGGAAAAGTTTAATAACAACGTATTTTTGAGTTCTTTCTTACTATGTTAAGTAACTAGCTCAAATTTAGATAGAAATTTTAATAGTCAATGAAATTTTCTGTATAATGTATTCTATACTAAGATTTTATTGATGAATTATTATGGCAAGGTCTCTAAAAAAAACTGAAAACAGTAGTTTTCAAGTTTTGGAAGATTTTGCTGAAACTAGTTTTGAAGAATGATTTTGCAAAAAGTACAAAGGCCTGAACAAAATGAGAAGTCGTCACATTTTCTACGACTTTTCCTCAAAATGTTAGAGACATCAAAAAGCCAAAAAAGATCTTTTTTTTAGCAGTTCTTTTTAATGTCTTTAATGTTTTGTTGATACTATTTGTTTTCCTAATATTCTTTTGCATAAAAGCTATGTTGCTCTTTACCAAAAATGATTACTTCTACTTTCTATAAACTTCTTGCCTCTTTTCATAAAGGTATATAAATGTTTTATTGTATTACATTTTCAGTTACCTGTATTCGATCTTACTACTCGAAGTTGGTCATTTGTTCATACAAATCCAGATCCAATTCATAGTAAGTTTTATATATATGTTTATTTTTTCTTTTTTATTGTTAATTTCAAATAGATTTTCCTAAGAGCCGAAAATTTCATTCAATATTTCCATTTCATAATAATCAAATAATTATGTTTGGTGGTGCTCATTTTTATCATGTAATTAATCGTCATATTTCTGTTAATAACCGTATATGGACATTTGATTTTGAAAAATTAGAATGGTCTATATTACCTTCATTAACTATGCCACGACCAACGTATTTTCATGCTGCTGCTATGAATGAAGTAAAAATGTTCATTTGATTGTTTTTTTCCTATTGTCTTTTCTCTAATTTTATTTAGCGTGGTGAAATTTGGACTCATGGTGGTGTTGTAAATGAATCAGGATCAATAAATGGTAACACAAATCATAGTGAAAAACGTATAACAACATTGTATACAATGCATACTCGAGTGCTTAATTTAAGTGAATTAACTTGGAATTATTTTTTAAATTCTCTATCGGATCGAACTTGTCTAATTAATCAACCTGAACTTTTGGCTCAACTTCATATACCACCAAGATTTATTGAGCGTATTCATTAAAAAAAAAAAATTTTTGAACCACTTTTTTTTTTCTTTGTTTAAAAAAATGAACCGCTATGAAAAATAAAATATCAGTAACGGTGATACAGAGATTGACTTTCTGATTGATTAATATTATGCAATGCAAAACACTAATAGTTAATGAAAATAGTGTCCATTTTCTTATAGTTAAGTTGCTATGAAATACATTAGAATATTTTTTTTTAATTTGATTTGATCGAATAATTCAGCTTCAATTATCTTGATCTTCTTTTTAACTGTACATATTGAGTAACTTCAAATTCATCTTAAACACTTATAGATAGTTCAGTTGTTAAATTTCATTAATAAACTATTAGATCATTTTATTTCATATAAGACTCATCACAAAAACACCCAGTATCTATAAAAATCGATTCTATTTAACAACAAACTTGTTTCTTTCTTTTCATCGTTAAGAATCAATTAACGCATGATGGAACTATTAGTGAATGTGTAAACAATTTCAATGGAACAATATTAACATACTACAAACAAGTGATGAATCAAACAAATAAGGAGACGAATGATGATCATGAGAGACTTTTTATGCAAGACCTGATGCGGCTTCTTATTTTCAGTTTCAAAGAATAAATAATAAGCAATAGAAAAATAGAGGAAAAGACGCTCTATCTATTCATAAGGAAAGAAAATTTTCTTAAGCGTTCTATACGAAATTAAGATGCTGGCGCCACTACTTTTGGATTGCCCTAAGTATATCATTCGATAGAGCTCATCGAGCTGCATTGAATAAGGTATATTTCATCAGTGGCTCGGGTCATAGAGCGAGTTGCTAGAGGAAATACTGGCTGAATGTCCAAGTTTTGGTTTTCCAAGGATCCTAGTCAGGATAGTCTTATATATGCCTTTCTGTATAATCATAAAGATGGTCAACCCGAGGATCGTTCTAAAGCAGATTTCTATTATGAATACTAACTTATAGATTTTAGTGAATCATATTTATATTTGAATAAATGAGGAGAATAGGTGATGATCTAGGTCGCATTATTCATATTATGATTGTTGTACATATTGAACATAAAGTTATTGGATTACCAACATCAGATTCTTATTATTTCTTAGATGCTTTACATACACAAAAGAAAAAAATTCAAACATCATCTATTAAATTACAAACGGAACGTCAAGTATCTATTTATATGACAACTGTACCAGGAGACAAATTTGTTGAGTTGTTTTTATTCAACGACAAAAACATTTCTTTGAAGCACAATGACATTTCCCAAAAATGAAAAAATGAAAAAATTGGTTTGAATTTTTTTTTTGCTTTCTCTGAAGAAATATTAATGAAATATTTTGTAGAAAATCAATACAATTTATCAATATTTTACTGATCTTAGTTCATCATCACCATCAAGTTCATCGAAAAAATCTTCATCAAGTAGTGTTAATACTACTAATAAAAAACAAACAAATTCATCAGTTACAACAAATGAAGAAGGAACAATTAATAGTCCATCATCAAAGAAAGATCAACAATATCCTCGATACATTACGAAAATTGAAAATTTCTTCGATTCCAAAGTAGATTAACAATTCTGTTCATTTTTTTTGATTGTTTATTTTTTTTGAATATAGATTAAATGATGATCAAGGAAAATTATATGAAGAATTATTATCTGAACAACAAGATTTAAATAATCATATTCCATTACATATTATTCGTCTTTAACAATTTGAAAATCAATTAAAACAACAACAATCTTATTTAACAAATAAAAAAATATTAAATAAAATTATTAAATTTATTCAAAATAGATTTTTATTTTTATTTAATGAAGATTTCATTTTATAATTTTTTGGTCAAAAAAAATTATCATCAAATGACAAAGATATTCAAATTATTAAAAAGTATTTTAATCAAAGAAAAACAACTTTTTTAGAGAATTTTTTTTTAGTGATATGGAAAAACGTCGTAATTGGTTAATTGATATATATACATATATCATTAGAAATGTGTTTATGTGATTTATCAGCAAATACTGATGATCAATCAGGATATTTAATAAATGTTCTTAAAAGTTTACAAAAACAGATTGATATAAATAATGGAAAATTAGCAAATTTCCTTTATAAATATTATTCAATTAAAAAATTTTATGACCGTCTTTGGAAATTATTTTTAAAACAAATTGAAGAAGAATCTTCATCACAACAACAAGAAAATGATCAGAAATTACTTCAAATACATTTTGTTTTTTTTTCTCTTTTAATTTTATTTCAAATTTATTTTTCTTTTAGCTTTATCAAACAACAAATATGAAATATTTAATAACATATCAAGAACGTTTAATCATCGCCAAATATTCTCAAGTTTATGTTTTATTTTAAGCTCTTTTTGTTAAATTTCATTTTGATAAATTAAGAAAATATTCAATCATACAACAAATGTTTTTCTCTTTGTCTGTTCTTAATGATCAATTCTCATCAATTTAAAAAGAAACAAATAATTTCCTTTTCTTTTATTTCTAGATTTAATCATGACTGATGATGATGATGATAGTACTTTTGATATTCACCTTACCAAACTTGTTGGTAAGTTCTTTGATATATTTCAGTTTTTTTTTTTCTAATAAATTTAATTGTTTGATAGATTGATTAGTTGATCATCGTTATTGTTCAAAAGATTGGAATGAACTATCAGTGGCTATTCGAGCGAAAACTCAACAAACGATTTTAAATATACTGTTAACGGTGATATATAATCACCATCACGATCATACCCTCGATAGTAACAGTCTAGAATCTCCTTTCGAAAATGTCCTGGGACGAAATGTCCTTTATTTTTTCGTCCTTACATACATATGTATGTGAGAGGACGAAAAAATAAAGGATATTTCGTCCGAGGACATTTTCGAAAGGACTTTCTAGCATGTGTTTCCCTCGATCACTCTTTCTTCTGTTGTTAACATATATCCTCTCTCTTGTTATCATGTACTCACTCTCTCTTCTATGGTTATCCTTTATTTTCTTTCTTTGTTTTTCGACTATATATATGTGTGCAACTGTGATTATTATATAGAATTAGCTAATGGAAAGGATAATTCAATTCCGTTATTAAAATCGGCTTTTGATTTTTATAAAGAAGTTATGAAACATTTTCATTCGTCTTCGAGATCTCATGAAGAGTTTTTGCCTAAGTATTCATGAAAATATTTTTTTGTGAAATATTTAACATAATATTTTTTTCTTTATTTATCAAAAAAAATATTTTATTATTTTTTTTTGTTCTTTTTTTTCTCTTTATGAAAGTGTATTTTTAGATTTAATCTACAGATGTTTTTCGATTAAATCAAAAAATGGTTGAATCAGCCCAGGTCGGACGATACGGTTACTTTACGGGCCGTATTACGGCCGTATGAGTGGATGCAGTTTTACGGACCGTACTACAGTGACTTTTTCACCGTATACGGCACCGTATTACTGCATCCACTCATACGGAGTAATACGGACTATTTACGGCCGTAAACTAGCCGTTTTTTACCGTTTACTGTCCGAAAACGACCCCGTAATGGGTACCCGTTTTGATCGACCCGGGAGTGGATGAAATTGGTTATGATAATATTGGTGGTGTTGGCAAACAGTTACCATACATAAATCAAATGGTGGAATTATCATTAAAACGTCCACTACTGTTACAAACAATTGATGTTAAACCACCACGAGGTATTCTTTTATATGGACCATCTGCCATAGGTATGATAAAAATAATAGAGCGTTTTTTTAGAAAAAGAAAAATATTTATTCTAGGTAAAACTTTAATTGCACGTGCCGTGGCTAATGAAACTGGTGCATTTTTCTTTTTAATCCATGGACCGGAAATTATGTCTAAATTACCTGGTGATTCTGAATTTAATTTACGTAAAGCATTTGAAGAAACTAAAAACGTAAAGTTAATTTGCTAGTTAATTTCTAGAAAATTAAGAAGACAAATTGAAGAAGTTAACTGTATATTAATTATAATGCAATTTTTATTTAAATAAAGTTTTTTTTTTGTTTTTAGAATGCTCCAGCTATTATTTTCATCGATGAACTTGATGTAATTGCACCAAAGCGTGAAAAAAGTCATGGTGAAATTGAACATCCTGTTGTTTTACAATTATTAACATTAATGGATGATCTTCAACAATGTTCACATGTGATTGTTATGGCGGCAACAAATCGACCAAATTCAGTTAATCGAGCACTTCGTCGTTTTGATCGTGAAGTTGATATTAGTATACCAGATGCTATTGGTCGTTTAGAAATTCTTCGTATACATACAAACAATATGAAATTAGCTGATGATGGGTGTTTAGTACAAATAGGCAATGAAACTCATGGTTATGTTGGAGCTGATTTGGCATCATTATGTTCAGAAGCTGCATTACAACAAATTCGTGAAAAAATGGATGTCATGGATTTACAAAACAATACAATCAATGTTGAAGTACTCAATGCATTAGTGGTTACAAAAGTGAAATTTCGATTTGTCCTTAATCAATCAAAACCATCAGCTTTACGTGAAATAGTTGTTGAAAAACCAAGAACAACATGGGAAGATATTCATGGTTTAGAAAATGTTAAAAGTGAATTACAAGAACTTATTGAATATGATGTTGTATATCCGTACAGATTTCTCAAATTTGATAAGACGTCATCAAGTGATGTTCTCTTGTATGGATCACTGGGTTGTGGTAAGTTCATCAAAAAAAAAAAGAAATTTTTTTCATCTTTATTTATTAATATTTTCTTATTTTAGGTAAAACATTATTAGCAAAAGCTATGGCCAATGAATGTAATGCTAATTTTATTTTGGTTAAAGTTCCAGAATTATTAACTATGTGGTTTGAAGAATCAGAAGCTAATGTACGTGATGTATTCGATAAAGCTCGTCAAGCAGCACCATGTGTACTATTTGTTGATGGATTAGATTCTATTGGTAAGAAGAAGATTTAAAAAAGAAGAATATATTTTTGTTTTTGTTTTTTATAGCTAAATCTCGTGGTGGTGTGGTAGTGCCGGTGATGGTGGTGATGCAGCTGATCGTGTTTTTAATCAAATTTTAACTGAAATGGATGGTATGCGTGCAAAAAACAATGTTTTTATTATTGGTGCTAGCAATAGACGAATTATTATTGATTCAGCTATACTTCAACCAGGTAAGAGAATGAAAAATTATTTATTTTATTTAGAAAATTACGATTTTTTTTGTTTTTATTTAGGTCGTCTTGATCGTTTGATTTATATTCCATTATCTGATGATAAATCTCGTATGGCTATACTTGAAGCTGTTTTAAAAGAACTACCAGGAGGAAAAGCTGGTGTTTTAAGTTTATTAGCAGATGAAACAAAAGACTTTAGTGGTGCAGTTTTAACAAAAATGTGCCAACGTGTATATAAATTAGCTATAACAGAATCAATTAAAGAAAAAAAAACGCATTGGACAAACAACAATGAATTTTGATGAACCAGCTACTGTACTTGAAATTCGTTGTAATCATTTTGAAGAAGCTGTAAATTTTGCACGACGTTTAGTAAATGAGAGTGATAGACCTAAATAGTTTTTATTTTTTTTTTATTTTTAAAATAAATATCTAAAGATTCTAAATTGAAAATATCTCACTAGGAAAAGTGTAATGAAAGCTTGTAATAATTATATGTTCTATTAAATTTGAATGAATTCTCTTAGATAGAATATATCAATGACATAAGACAATCAATAGAAAGATGAAATATTTTGACATTCGTTGACCTGATAGTATATTAAAAACGGCAGCAAGTTAAAGATGTTATTTTTTCTGCTAGTATATTTTGAAGTAATTTCATTTCGTTCAAACCCATAAGATGAGTCTGATTGCAAGAAAGGTAGTTTACGTTAACTGAGACGGATAACAACTTCATATCGCGCATACATCAAATCCAATTATTGAAATTGTTTTGAACTTTAGATCGAATGCAATCAGAAATTAATGTTCATTTATTCTTTAATTTGAGTTAGATCGAAAAAGTAAGGACTATATTTACATTTAAAATGAAATCAAACCTTTTTGTATGTCTCCAAACAATTGCGGAAGGAGCATTTTCATTTTACCTATAACTCTGCAGCATCACAAAATGTTGTGTGATTTTTTTTTATAAAATGAGAAACGATCATTAATGGTTGATATTTCTTTATATTGGAGAAATATCATTAGCCTATAAATACAATATTTATCATGTTTTTCAGTTTATTGAATAAATCAAAACGAGAATACATCTACTAATACAACGAAGGAAAATAAAGAAAAACATCTTCCGAATAAAACAATGATCCTAGCGTATCTATTCGTTCCACCTTAGCACAATTGCGTCGTGTTTCTTTTCTTGTGAAGTCTTTTGTTACAGCTTTTAAATGATCAACATCGACTTCAAATACCGTCAGACAAGGTATGAATGCCTTTGTTTCATTTAGAAATTGTTCAACATAATCTCTATGTGCATATCTCACATCGAGTCTAGTCAGATGAAGGTATTCAATAATTGAGTGTAATTGACAATTATCAGATGAAAATGTCATAAGATCATCTAATACTTGTGATTCTTTATTAAAAATACGTAAATACTTCAGTAATGGAAACGATCGGGTAATTCGAATGAAGAATTCATGTTTGAATGGATTAGTATCTTCTACAAGTAAAAACGTAACATTACTGAATACAATATTTGGAAATTTATTGCCAAGATGTTTGAGATAATCAAATTCAAAAGGAAGTGAGAAAATCGAGCATGCAGCTATTCCACCTTGAATATAATTGACTATATTCGTGACATGTTCTTGTTGTCCAATATTTGTTAATGTTTGTTGAATATCTTTACTAGATAACTTGTAGGATAAATCAACCGTTTTCACATAAGTACAAATATAGAAAGTGAATGAATGAAGTTGTGGCATATAATCCAAAATATCATGTTGAACATAAGTACCATCAATCACTGTATTTCGACCTTTTATAGGAAGATATAAAGTTAATTTTTCCAGATTTGACATACGACGAAGAAGTGATACAATTTTATCATATTGTTTAAATCGAAAGAACGATTTTAATGAGAAACATTTTAGATTAAATAATTTATCCTACAGAAAGAAAGAAATGTTTTTTTGATAATCTACAAGATTAAGTCATAGGCATCATTATTTTACACATGATGTATGATCTATATTCTATCTGTGAATGACCACAAATGACAAATCTATTAGTTTGATTTTCTCATTTTACAGCATAACAAACGAGTGTTCAAAGAGCAATTAAAGTTTCAGACAAATTTCCAATCATTTCTCAATTATTGGAAAAGTTGTTATTATAGAAAAACTAGTTCCATTCTATGCTGATGATCATTCATATATGATAATATTTAATCAATCATGAAACAGAGTAGTCTAGTTTTCAATATGAAACTTATCCGATAAAATATTATATAATTATAATTTCTAGCAACAAATTTCATTGATTCTTTTATTAAATTCAAACGTCTAGTAAATACAAATTTAATGTCGATGATTTTGATATGTTCATCAAAATCATATCAGTTTTCCCCCCTTCTCAACATGAAACTTAACCATTCGCTCTCTTATTTGAATTTTTTGAGATCACTCGTTAACTACATTAAAATAGTAATAATCTTCATGTCATAAATAAAATTATTTGTAAAAACTTACCATATTGTGAACAATTCTTGAATACTCGTCTATAGAATAGACATTAACACACAATGTTGTCAATTTTCCAAGTCGACCATCAAGTAAATAAAGACAATCATCAAAAGTTTTCATGTTGATATATAAATGAGAAAGAATCGGAGATGAAAAAGTAGTCGATGGCAAATAACAAAGTGATAAACCTGGATACATTGATATAGCAGATGGTCTCATGATACTTAATTCTTTTAAATTTTTGAAGAAGGTCAAGATGTGACTATATACGTTTGTAGTATAATTTTTCAATGAACGTATCATTCCGTCTTCATCATCATTGATTAGAGTAAGGTTTGTAATTTGTTCTTGGAAAATAGATCGAAGTGATGCTTCCTCTAAAGGAGAAAACAATGAAATGAAACATATTGTAGTCTATTCTATTTAACACTTTTATTATTTCTCAACTAATCAAATTCGTATTAAATGCTTACTTGTAAGATAATCTAAAGCGAATTTTTGTTTGAAATGAAGAATTTTAAGTTCAGTTAGATTCGGATAGTCAGTGGCAAGAAGAAAACATTTCATACAAAATGAATCAAAAATAAAACATTTCACATTATGATGAATTCTTGGTAATATATCGATGCAGAATCGATCGATTAAAGAAAAATCACAAATGGCGACAAGCTTCAGAATGTTGGTGAAAGTGTTTTCTTGTGCAAGAATGTTAAGTCGTCCATTATTAATATCCAATAAAGAATAAAGTACATCAACATTGTTCGACTTCTTCAAAATCATAATTAATATTTCATCAGGTAAATCCAGAAGAGGAACATTTGATCGGTTCATATTTTATTATGACTGTGATGCTTTTCACTACGACAGAGCTATATATACCTATATTGTTCATTGTTTGCATCTCACCACTTTGACCTCAAACAGACTGAAAAAAAGAAAATGAAGTAAGCAACGTGATTGATCTATTCCGACTTAAATCATGTTTTTTAGACAAATTTATTCGTTAATTCAGTCTTAATTCGTTTTATTTTTTTCATTCTGTTTCGGCGTTTTGTGCCATTGTCAAATTGAATAGGTAAAGTTTTTAACAAACGTAAAACATTGATGTATCGTTCGATCATAGTCATTCATTGCAGAGATGAGCAAAGTCGTACCGCGCCTCCCCGCGCTTCCCCGCGCCGTTGCTCACGCCTACGCTACACTAGTCTGAGCTTTGATGAGCGCATGCTTAGAGCATCCCGGTATTCGGTGGAGTTTGAGAAACTGATTGGTAGAGCAAAGAGAAAGAGAGATGTGCGTAGCGCCTAGGCACGAGCAGTGGCGCGGGGAGGCGCGGTGCGATTTTGCTCATCTCTGATTCATTGTTGTGTGCATTTTCGAAAGAAATTGAAGGATGACATTGAGAAGAAGAAAGGATATATTTTTCTTATAGCAGAATCAGTTGAATTTCATTCGTTTAGTATTTTTTACATCCGAGATTTTTCCAATTTAAAATCAAATCGGAAATTTTTTCGAAAAGATAGTTCTTTGATGGCCTCAGGTCTTTTAGTTAGGAGGAAATTTCACTAGATGTTATAATAATAGAAATGTATAGATCTGGATGTGATCTAGGTACACTGCACACACACATGTGTATTGTGAATCTGACGTTTTTTGTCCACTTGAAAACAGGGTTAAGCCATTTGATATGTAGTATAATCTCGTCAATGTTGAACTAACATCTTTTCATTATAGAAAGAAACCGTTAACAATAGGCTTAGAATTCGTTGAAAGGAGAAAAAACTTTGAGAAAAGTATGCATTGTCAAGATATGTGTAAGGATACATACGTACATCGTTATGTTTTGTCAAGAAAGATCACATCACATCTATGCAATGAAACGATAGATATTGAGAGAAAGACCGAAGAAAGAAGCAACTAAAACATAGACGGTAATCTCGACATAAAAATTCTTGAGAAACGATTGATATTGACTTTCAAATTGTGTAGAAAAGAAAATTTTAATGATGAAATAATGTGCAATAAGATATATAAATAATAGTTCGAAGTTTGATCTTAATCTTGAAAAAGGTTGAATTTAGAAAAATAGCGAAGTAATTTTGGAAAAAGTTCCTAAAAGAATACGAGAAATGTCTTCAAGATTAATTCGATTACTTGAAAAGAAACCCACGCATAAGTATATCAGAAAATTTTTCTATTGGAACTTTTCAATACATATCGTAGATCGCGAACTTTCAGCTCGTCATTATTATAGTTCTCTGAAACTATCATCAGAAGAATGAAGTTTTCAGTTAACAAAAGAGAAGAAAATTTATTTTTGAAATAAACTTTTCCAATCTTCACACAGAGAACAGATGAAGGCATTTGTAGCGTACTTTTCTTTACTTTTTTTTATTAAGATATTCAAATAAATAATGACTAATGCAATGTAATGTTTCAAGAATATTTATTGTGTAACTTTCAATAGTATAGAAAAAAGTGCTGAGAATCTTTAGATGTCTTTTATCAAAATAAACTCATATCTTTTTGAAAAGAACATTAAATTTTCCTTTGATTTTAATAGCAAACAATAAGAATTTTTTCTAAAGATGATTCTGCAAAAAAAGATTAAAATTGTTCTTGACCAATTCGTACATGTCATGCATGATGAACTTCATCAAATATAACTGATTTTGGTTTATTCGATTTTTAAAACAATACATCAATGATAAAACATATGAATAATTCCTATTAATCGTAAATTATAATAAACAAAACAAGAATGAATGATAATG